GTAGTCCCCTATGGAATCCCCTATATAACCCCCTTTAAGGAGTTTAGACTATGGCTCCTATGGCCCCTTCCAAGAGACCGCCTAGCTCCAGACCTCCAAGCGGGTGAGACGCGGCTCGCGGTTAAACCCTAAACCCCTACACTTAACCCTACCTGGACCCCAAAAGGTTTAGGGTTTAGGGCTTAGGGTTTAGGGTTTAAGGTTTAGGGTTATATCCCCCTATAATGGAGAATCAAATGGAAAAGAACATGGAAAATGAAATGGAAACTGGGGTAATATTGGGGCTATAATACCTGGACCCCCAAAAGTATGTAAAAGAATGGCCTTTATGGCTATTATTAGGGGGTTTAGGGCTATTGTTTTACATACTTTTGGGGTTTAGGTAAACCCTAAATCCTATTAACCCTGAACCCTAAACACTAAACCCTAAACCCTAAATCCTAAACCCTAAACCCCCAAAATGAACCCTACCCAATAGCTATGGAGATGTAGGGGCCACCTCAGCTTCATCGGCTTCCTCCTTGCTTCAAAAAGGGTTCTTTAGTGTTCTATGGGGATGTCTAGGGGTATATAGCGGTAGTGGAAAAGAAAAACGGAAGCTACTATTTAGGGTTTAGGGATATGAGCCCAAATAACGGATAATCAAAAGCAAAAATGGAAAATGAAATGAAACTACGATCAGAGTCCGGGAATTACCTTGACCCCGGATGTCTTTCCTTTATGGGGTTTTGTTTTGCATTTCTCTATGGGATAATTACCCACAAGACAGATGGACATCCAGGGTCCAGGAACAGTTTCAGGTGTATTTTGGGAAGAGTATAGGGAACATAGGCTTGGTAGGGATTATGGTTTCAGGCTCACAGGGTGTATTTAAGGTTCATAGGACTTAGGGTTCAGAGTTGAGGCTTTTGCATGAAGCCCCTTGGCCGCGGGCTTAGTACTGTGGACCCTGTGAATCATCCCCTCCAACTCTAAGTTCTCTGGACCGCTGCTAGAAACTATACTTTCAGCTGGTTCTTTGGATTCCATACACAGAAACTGAAACTTCTTCAGTGAACGTCCAGCACAATTCTGAATCTTCGCCCTTGAGCGCCAGGAAGCGTTCTTGCTTCCGAATAGTCTTGAGTTCGCTCGTTTAGAAGAAATGTCAGGCCTACATGACTGGGGGTTTGCGACATGTTTGAACTAGCATACCTTGTAATGATATACAAAGGAATTAGCAGGGATCATGTCAATCATTTTCAAGGCCCAGGCTAGGTTTATGGATATGCTTGCCAAGTACAGTTTGTTTTGGGGGAGAATATAAAGAAACATATGAGCCTTTATGGAAATTCGGGATGTTTGCGGCGAAAAAGACTACAATCAGCAGCAAAAGAACCGCACAAGGGGACTGTAATAAAACTATACCCTTTTCGGCTTATGCCCTGAAATTTCAAACCCAAAACGCAGAACCCCCGAAGCAATGCTCTTTCGGTCTCCTCCTCTGGGGGCTCCAGAACCTTCTGGATCTCTGCAACCACCTCCAGGGGCGTGGCCCTCAAGTCCACACGTGGGATCACCCTGTTGCTGCAATACGGCGTTGCAAGGTCTAGTCGATTCTAGTATACAACAGGAATATGATACACTCCCCCAAACTAACATGGAAACCCATATAGTCCCCTTTTTAGAAGGACTGTAGTCTTTCTAGGGCCCTTTTTGGGTTTCCATGTTAGTTTCCGGGAGTGTAACATGAAATCTCATCTTAGCCATCTCAGGCTTCCTCTACGTACCAACCCGTTCCGCAAACATCCAACGTTTGGCGTTTGGAGGCCCAACCCGGAAACCTCAAACCCTAAAATCCCTGCCGACCGACCTAATTAAGAAAGCCTCGAAACAATCCTACACTTCTGTAACCCGAACCCCTAAGCCCCTCAACTCCTAACGACTACTAGGCTCCCCAGTACCCTGTCCCCTAAACCCTAACCCCCTTAAGTAATAGTACCCTTTTTCCTAATGCTCAGCTTCAATAAGGAGACACCAAAATACAAAAGGACAAGAGGTACTACTGGGGTACTAAACCCTAGACCCCTACACCCCTAAACTCCTAAACCCGTAAACCCCCACACCCTAAACCCCTAAACCCTAAACCCCTAAACCGCGTCCTAACCCTCTTAAGAAGGAGGGTTGTGGTACCTAGACTTGGAAACCCAGCCTCAGGATGGCCGTAAAGCTTGCCAAAGAGAAGGCAATGTTTCATCTCCCTTGGGTCGAAGTCCTCTTAGGGTTTTAGGGTGTAAGGTTTTGGGTTTTAGGGTTTTAGGGTTTAGGCTTTCAGGGTTTAGGGTTTAGGGATTTAGGGTTTAAGGATTTAGGGTTTAGGGATTTAGGGATTTTGGGGTTTTAGGGTTAGAGGGTTTAGGATTCAAGGGCAGAGGCTCCCCTCGTGGAGAGGTTCCAACCAGGGGTTTAGGTTTAGCGGTAAGGATTGCAGGGAAAAAGGACATTGATGGTGGGCTAGGGTCCAAAGGCGAAAGACTTCATCAAGATTGTGGGTTTCTTGCGGCTTGTTTAATATGTCAGGATCGAAGCCGTACCGGGCATGAACATCGACCTCAAGTTAAAAAAATACCGAAAGCTACTCCACCGAAAAGCAGAACTTGAGTTGGACAGCATGTTTCAAATCGAAGTCTGCCTGCAATCACAGTTTGCAGACATATCCGAACTTTCCTCCATAACATAATTCCAAGCAATCCTTCAAAGGGCCCATAGAACCCCCACCTTACATCCATAGGCACAAAGAAGGCAGCAGTACCTCGAGAAACGACAAACTATGTCATTCTGATGCAGGGTCTAAATGTGTGTTTTCGGAAGCAAGATCTCCCCTTCACGTGGGCTGTTTTGCAGGACTTCCTAGCTTGCGTGTTTGCCAAATTGGAATTCCGCATCTATACAGGCCCGAGAAAAGCATGGGCCTCAAAAAACGGCCGCGGCTCTGAAGTCTTAGCCTGCACCCCTCCCTACAACCTAAGCACTCAAACTGCGACTAACGTTTTTCTTGAACCCTGCTGATCCTTGGGGAGCAGCGCCTTCACGCACTCAACGTGGCCCCAGCGGGATGCCTAATTGTTGGGATCCATCACAAAAATGAGAAACGCATTACCTCTTTTAGAAATAAGCGTGTGCATTCAGCAGAACGTGTGCGGCTGGTGCTAAACACAAAGCCCAAAAGGGTGACCTACTTGACTATCACGGGAGCCTTCTTGAGGGCACTCATGGAGTTCTTGTCCTGGCCATTGGCATCAGCACCTGCATCCAGACGAAGCACAAAAGTCCTTTTGATTCGAAGAGGGGGATATATGGGTGGTTGTCAAAATTATGGTCCCTTTTTGGGTACCCTAAACATAAGGTGCCGTACTATAATAGGGATCCAAAAAGGGACCATGATTTTGACAACCACCCATATGTGTTCCATGAGTTTTGGGCGGGTGTGACGTGAACCCTGCCTGGACCTCCCAAACAACACAATAGCCTTAAGCCTAAAATGATGAGCCTGTAGGTGATCATCAATCATAGGCAGCTGCGAGCTTTGGGTAGCTCATAAAGAAAAGCCTGAACGCAATCCCCAAGCCCTCGAACACACTATCCTGAATCCTACGCACCTTACAGGCCGTCAAACCCTGAACCCTAAACCCTGAATCCTAAATCCTAGACCCTGAACCCTAAAACCCTGAAACCCTAAAACCTGAACCCTAAACTTTGACCCCTGAACCCTTCATGCCCTAAACCCTAAACCCCTACACTGCGGACCGCCCCATCTGCGCCTGCGTCTAGGAGGAGCCTGACAACCTCATGATGTCCCATGGCAGCAGCCATCCTGGGATGGGCTTAGGGAACTGGTTATACTAGTTGGGTTATATAGGGAAAATGGAAAAATGGAGGCTACTCTTTAGGGTTTAGGGTATAGGATTTATAGGGTTAAGGTTTTAGAATTTAGTGCTTGGGATTTAAGGGTTTAGGGTTGGGGGTTTAGGGTTCAGGGGGTTTAGTGTTAAGGGCTAAGGGTTTAAGATTTAGGGTTTTAAGGGCTCAGGGTTACCTTATAAGTGACCCCCCAAATACTGTAATTGCAGGAACTGTAGATTCTTGATTAGGGTCTTATGTAGTTCTGACTGTGCTAAGATGGAGGCCGTAGCCGAGGATTGGTGGGTAGGATTTAGGGTGTAGGATTCATGTTTTAGGTTAGGGCTTAGGATTTAGAGTATGTAGGCTTTGCAGTCAGGTTTGTGGTCAGGGGTTAAGAGGGCCATAATGGGCATCTACGTTACAAACCTAAAATTCGTGGGCCTTCTGAGGAATGCGATGCAAGCATGGGGTGTAGAAGCATGTACGGGGCTGAACACACGACTTGTTGTAGATGTGTATAGTCCCCCTTAAGCAGATAGAATATGGGGTATATGGGGATCTTGTTATCATATACCCAGAGCCATATTCTATCTACCTAAGGGGGACCATATGCCATGGAGCCAGAAGTAATCATACCTCGGTCTTTGCAAGCGTGAGGGGGATGTGCCATGCAAGGGCGATTTTTTGGCCGTCCTGAAGCTGACCCTCCTGCCAAGCAGCAAGAGGATCTAAGGTTAAAAGTATGGGCC